ACAACAAAAAAGCAAGATAAGAGCAGAAAACAATGCATCGAGTCGATCCATATGATGCATATGCTGCTTCGCATTTATCGCGCATATACCGTACATATAAGTGTCATTAGAGAATGCACAATGTATGTTTCGCGCCAGATGGGGAAAAGGTTCGAGTTCATATATATATACAGACTGCGCCATACGAAACTGTTACTTCGCGTGTATAATTGAGGTAATTGCTCCGACACGCGATGACTTTTAATGCGTAGCATGAATAAGATGATAAGATGAGCCATGAGACTTTTCTCTGATGATCTGTACAGCAAAGTGCGTATGGTATATATCGACTCTATGCATGAATACAAATGTATACGATAGACATTTTCTTTCGGATGAGAAATAATGTCTATCTGATATCGCTTCGTACTCGAGCTTCTCTGTATTGTTTTAAGTAACTAGTTTGTTTTCATTGCTCATACGCGCGCGTATATATACAAATATTCCTGTCAGTGATTCGAAGATTTGATTTAATTCGTTGCATTGCGGGCATTTTTGAAATCATAAATTCATTTATGCAATTTCCCTGCATCGAGTCGCCCATATGTATAAAGTGCGTCTGCGCGAAATAATGTGTAATTTCTATTTCTTCCGCATACATGTACTTACGAGAAACGCATGTATCGTATTACAAATATGCTGTTTCCGTGGATTATTTTTTTTATTTTCATTAATATCCTATACGGAATCATAATACGGTACACATTCATTACCCAGTGTATTAGATATTACTGTCCTGTCACTTGCTTTTACTATGCTGTTTTTCTTTGTTTTTTTTTTCATTACTACTCTGTAAACCTTAGTCTGTAAGTACTTCAATATATTTTATCTTTATCTGGGCCACATGGGGTTGATCCTCGCATTCCGTTCAAATAAAGAAATCAAATCATTCAGTATCTAAGAAAAATACCTCGCATCATTGTTGACTCGTCGCGAGGACGCTGAATCGTAGTCTGAATTTATAATCGATGGAATCGAGCAAAAGAAACGCGTGTATTCATGCCTGCGGATTCCAGCTCGTATGCACGAAATTCCAATAAGGCTTCGCACTCCACTTATGTTCGTGGGTACATTTAAAAGCAAACCCTTGCAGCAAAAATGCATCTTCCTCTCTGATTCTCTATTTTCTGCGCACTTTTCTTCTTTTCCGGTCTGGCTAGAGTAACTTGTACAAATAAGCGCTCCTGTTTCCCATAAAATGGACGAATGCGCACTAACTCAGTATACATAATATAACCAGTATACAACAACACATGTACATTTTATTTGAAATATAAGAATGTGTGCGTGAATGTTATGAAAAAAGGGTTTAGATAGTAAGCAAACTCACGTTTCCGGAGATCAATGGCTTCTCAACGATGCGTATATTTACTTCTCGTAGTTGCGTCTTACCGTGAATACTTGCTGTATTTTTTCTTCTCGCTTTTTCGCTCGTTTTCGCATACACATATACAACCGACTTCCTATTTATGCATATCCGAAGATTTATCTCCTACTGCAACTTACGCAAGGGGGATTATTACTTCGATCAGTCACGAAAGAGAGAGAAAAGTTAGCTTTAAACATTCATGTGTTTTAATTTCCGCCACTCGATTTTCCGTCTAATTAGAGCTGCGAGTTGGTAAAATTTCTCGTCTTTAATTGGACACGTCGAAGAAGCATCAAAGCGCATGCGAGCATATAAGAGAAACAACAGAACCTGGATATCGCGGCGTACGCGCCGCATACCGATTTCAATCGGGCTTACACACAAATTAGTCTCTGGAAACATGCGCACTACTCTGAAATCGCGTAGGACGAGCGCAAAAAAACGGCACAACTTGTGTGTGTATGTGTACGCATAAGCTTTAACGACAATTTCACTCGCTCAACTACGTTCCAGTATAGTCGTCATCGTCGTCAACACCTTAAGCAGCTTAGAAAGAAATTTTTCTCGACTTTCTTATTGTATGCGTGTGGCATTATCATAGAAAGAAACGACAATTTGGGATTCCTATATAGGCATACCTGGATTTCACGTGTGAATCTACCGCTGCAGCAACAACAACGTCAGCAACACTAGTCTTGACATGAACGTCGATGCAACAACGGGCCGCCCAGAATAGTTACGATCTTCTCGTTTCGCGTTCATATGCTTTGCTGCTGCACCTCTAGATGTGCAACAAAAAACAAACAGGCAATGTTGGCGCGTGGAGCACAGGAAAAACTGAAATCTGTGCCTCGGCGCGTTTATCATTTCACGCCCACATATTTGTCGCTATTATGTCCGCAAGTCTATGCGACAAGTAATGTTATCTCAATAAGCTGCAGGGCATCATCGACTTTTTTTTTTTGTTTGTTTGTTTTTTTTTTTTTTTTTTTTTTTTTTTNTTTTTTTTTTTTGTTTTTTTTTTTTTTTTTTTTGACAAAATAGCCGAGTTGAACGTTGCACTTTTTGTTCACGCACTCCGACACCAGAAAGACGGGAAAAAATGTATGAAAGAAGAATTTTATCGCCGAGCTATGCTTCGGAGCAAATGTGTTTTGCAAAATAACGCAAACAGTATGTATGAGTATATATGTTGGCGTGCTTGCGGCTGTGAGCACGCCGGTCGCGCGACTGACTGGCTCTTCTCCGCACGTAGCGACGGCCGAAGGAGAGCTCCGCGAGAGGTGCCTCAACGGCTGCTCTCCGCCAGATATACCGTACGCGCCCGCCGATCTCTTCCCTCTTTTTATAGTGCCTGCTGCGCTGCACTCTATACAGCAGCGTGTGCACATATACAACGCTAGTTACTACCTCGAGACACCTGTACGCTCGACGTGCAGTGCCGCGGCTCGAGCTGCGCACGCGGCCATGTGTGTATATAACTATTGTGCACCGCGCACTGCTCTCCGATACGCATCGCTGCGGCTGCACGAGCTCCATGAGCTACTGATGCAGTCAAAGACCGAGCTATTCCTCATCGGACTCTTATTCGATCATACCGATGCAAATTTAGTTTTTACCTGTTTCTTACTCGCTTTTGAGTCTCGAAAATCATTTCACTCCATATCTGGCCACATAGTCATCGTTTTGCCAATAGTTCGATATTCTTCAAAGCTTACCCGCCCTTAAGCCGTCTTCACTTATTACACACATTAGAGCGTTGCAAGCTTCGAGTGAGAGAGACAATAGAGGCATGATATTTACAGACGCGGCGCGATAGCTTACGGTATATTGTGTTCTCTTCGCCGTAAAGCAAATCGAAGCTCGTCTCCTGTAACACAAGCGCATTAAATGTAAACCGACGCGATTGAACGTTGCCTTGGTATATTAGCTTTGCATTGTAACGTGTCGTTTATCGATACATCGAGCCCGAGTGACTCGCCGACCTCCACTGCATCGCTTGCCTCATTGATACTTTATGATTCGTAACGGGCCATCTCGTATGAAAGCTATATATAAGTTCGAACGCGAGTAACGATAAATCCACAGAGGGCAAGAGCCTTACAGCTACTTATTGACGTGCTTATTACACGTGCTCAAGAGAAAACAATTTTTCTTTGTATTCTATCCGCAAATTTAATCAGCAAGATCGGTGGAGAATTTTTCAAAGTATAATAAAACGCTTCTGTTGTAGCGTTATTAGTATTAAATAATGAATTTACCCATTTCATTCTAAGCCTATGAATGATTTCTGGAAATTCTAGAATATCTAAAGAAATATGATTATAATTGATTATATAATTGATTATATTTGATAGACATCAAACTTTTAACTTGCATGTGAAGTTAATCCTCATCAATATGTATAAAAAATATCCAAATAACGTTAGAAAAACTATCAAGTGTCAATTCTACCCACAATTATTATCTCGAAGTAACAATGCAAAATACATGAAAATGTTGCTCACAAAAAACTTATAAGTTTCCATAAATGTGAGTATAAAAGCTGGAGAAAGCTTTTCGGGCGGACAGATAAACTAGAAAATCACACTGAAAAGTCTCATAGTCGTGAATATCAAACGTTTGAAAAGTATTGCGCCTTAGAAAGAAAGCAGAAGCCAGTAGTGAAACGAAAATCAGTGACAAGGCAGAAACACAATTACTTACTAAAAAAATTGTTGCTTTATATTCTAAAAAAAGCTTACTATTGTAGCTATGATAAAAAGTGTGCTGAAATAGTATATTTTGTAACAAGTGCGCGAAACAGTTGACTCATCCAGGAGTTGTTTTCACCCGAGCGTAGCGAGGGTGCAAAGACTCCTGGGTGAGTCAACTTCCTCGCGGACTAGTTGCAAACGATATTTTTTAACTCTGCTTGCGAGAAACTAGGGTTTTCTGACGCTTTAAGGTTAGAAAACCCGTGTTTCGCGCACGCAGTGTTAAAAAAATGATATTGAAAGTTATGTTATTGTTGATCACAGTCGTTCGCCGGTTGACAAGTGTCCAAATAGTAAATGCGCAAGACCTCTTGAAAGGAAAGCTATCCTCAACAAGTACTACACAGTTGCAAATCAAAATCTTTTTAAAAAGCATACGATCAGCGACAATAAAAAATTTAAACTTTAGAAATCGTTCTAATCATAGTTGTATATAACTTGCTTGATAGCGACTTAAATTTTAAATAAATAACATTTAAATATTATTTTTATAGTTTATGGACATTTCATAATTATTTGGTGATGTACGTCCACAAGAGGAAGACCTGTTATGTATAACTAAAAAAACTAATTTTTAGAATTAGTTAAAATATTTGTTCAATAAATACGACCATCCGACCAAAAGTACAATTATACTATGTATATATGAATACCGATCTAGTCAGGAGCGAGCCTTATAGTCTCTGCACTCAGTATTATCATCTAGAAGCCGATAAAATTGCCATTATCTTACTCAGTAGACGAGAAAATAATACGTGCGCAGCATACCGATTTTCCGTTCATACCGATATCCTCGAGAAATCAACAGTCGGTAAAACAGATCACACCGAGCTTACCTGTCGAATAAGAGTTCCTGCTGATGATGATCGCAGTCTTTGCAGAGACTGCATCTCGAGTTATCCCTTTCGTCTTTAACCACCTCCGTGGATGATGCCCGTCTTTTGCTCAGAGGCGGGCTAAGGATGAGTCGCCATGAGCGGCGCAGCAGTTGCAGCAGGCAAAGCGGCTTTTGCGTGCCGACACCCATTGCATTATCATCGGTAAGGTCAGCGATCGGCTGTGTCGAAGTCGATATTGGTCTAGAGCGCGTATTGCCCATGACTACCTACTAACTAGGCTCAATCTGTAACTACTGATCAGCTCTCTTGACTAGGATTGTTTCTGTAAATAAAAAAATACAATCATTAATTCAATGAAATTCACAAGTAAATAGTCTTCGACGAATCATTATTGACAAGAACAAAACTATAATGTATAGATCGCAGATAAAACTCATATTTTTCATGGAAAAATAATAACGGTGAAAGCCTCATATACTTATTCAGCAGCCATTATATTCAATATTCAATTGTTCAAATATGTATTGAAGACAATAGTATAACGACGAAAAATCGATCTAGGTTCTGTGGCAAAATTATCCAGTGAACATAAAGGTACAGCGTCGTTATAACGAGTTAAGGGTAAACTAGCTTTCACTTTCACTTTTTACGGGCCTGTTTTTGCGTTGCTTTTTTTCTTTCGACAGCTTAATCATATACATCATATACACCGAAGGAAAATATTTTCACGCATAATCAAACGATCGAGAAATCTTTAAGCAGCAGCTACCGACAAAATCAGTGAATTATTGTACTGTTAGCGGCAGTTGGATCGTGGGTGTGAGCGAAATACATAATATGAGGCTCTACACGCCATGGAAATGTTTAAAATATATCTTTGGAACAATTAAAAGACTTTGAAAGCAAAGATCGATCGTGCACTCTTGTGTATGCATATTCATAATAAAGTCACACGCATACATGCGAAGCATCGCAGTTTGATCTTGGATAACATTGACTATTAATACGCCTGGGTTTTCAAACCACGTTTGTTAACTTGATCGGCAGCACCAAATATACATACAAAAGCAATGCAGGCGAGCGATGTAAGTTTTATAAGGAAAAATACTTTGTTCATTGAAACTGGACTATTAAAGTTATTTTTATTGATTTATTAAGCGCCTCAACTCGCTAGTAAATTGTTATAGGAACGACATGTACAATTTATGTGGAATTTTAATTTGAGCAAGCCGAACATGAAGGAGGTAAAAAATTCTTTTTTTATTCTCCATGACAAATAAGTATACGCGTTGACGTAAATAGAAAGTTGTGCGCGTGAAAAAATATCCTCGACGTTTAGAGAACATTTTTTAACGTCTCAAGTATAGAATTCACTCGTAAAATGAGCATCGGGACGAATGAGTTTTTCAACAACAAAAAAGTTGCAATGATAATAATTGTCGCATTTTCAATTAATACCGTAATATGAGGAATCAAAATGGAAAATGCGTATCTGCAGACTCGAATAAAATTGTTTACTTATTTTCGAACACATGCGTGCAGCCAAGAGCCCATCCGAGTTCTCGTTTTATTATACACTGAGCAATTTGTCCATCAAGCGTATATTACATGTACTTATGCCTATTAAACTACATCTTCTTCGCAGGCGAGTGTAAAAGTATAACGAGCTGCAAGTAGGTTCCTCGATTCAAAAGAAAGAACTTGGTCATAGGCGCAGCGAGAGATAAAATTGAATGCAATGAATGACAATTAGCCGACGAAATTACGCACTTCTGGAATAAATTTATAATATTGTATAATCGTGTTGCATTCGCCAAAATGTCCTTCGTAATCTCAAACTATTGCGTTCTATGCGCGACCCATTTGCAACGGTAAGCTCTCTTCGCTTTCTTTGGCAAATTAACGGTTCAACGATACGATAGCTCGTACGGAGCTGCACCGTATAGTACGCTACTCCTGGATTTTTTGTTTTTTATTTTCATACTATATAGTGGGTGCACGCGCCATAACAATTCTTCCGTTGTTAACCTGTTAATGACTTTTAGACGATCCAATCGTTGAGTTTTACAGCTTCGAACTTTTTCCATCGACCGAAAAAACTCGGCTACCATAGCACATGTACTTGCAGTTGTACAGGCCTACAGAGTTTATTTTTCAGATGCTTCTGTTGTGTTTTGTTAAACGATTCTCGTAATTATCAGCTTATGTGTGTACATAGGTTAAACGTCATGGTTAAAACGTACCATGAACTACATTTCTATAGCAGCTATGTTTGGCATTTAGATTGGGCTGGGTTTTTATTCGTAAAAGGATTTCCAAAAGAAAGAGGACAAATGATCGTAGCAGTTAGAATAATGTTTTATTATACTTCATCCATTTATACAGGTAATTTAACTACCAATTTAAAACTCTCTCTTGATCAATATTGATTTTATACTGCTGCTTTATTCTCACTCGCTTACGCTCGTTCGCTATTTTAGAATTTTTTAAAGAAATTTCTGATTTCGATGCCAAAAAGAAAAGTACTATAATGGTATTATATATAGTACTATTATAGTATTTCTTTTTAGGAATCGAAAACAGAAATTTTTGGGATAAAAGCACTTTTTCCAGCTTTACTGCGATTATATAAGATTTAATCTAATTCACGATAACAACGCGATTTTCATTGATTTTCGTTGGTAATTCTGAATATCATGATAATTAGATTAACTCAAATAAAATTTTTGAAGGCCTGACAATACAGTTATGCTACAATAATCTGCATATTAATCAACGAAGGTGATCAATTAGTTTCAAAAGTATTTTCATGAAATTTTAGTGCCAAAATTTCCATCAGGCCTGTGCTAAAATATATTTTTCTGTCGAGGCTTTTTAATTTTTTAATTTAGATAAAATGAAAAATGGTACCTTATAAGAAATGCTAAAGAGTGAAAAATTTGAGAATATTTTTATTCATTATTTCGCTCACAGATTGTCAAAATATAGTAAAACGCGATTTACGCTCGGAACGAACAATTTAAATCCAAGTGAAAAATTCGATTAGGATAAACGCACTAAGTCTGTATTATACGATTTCAATTATTTTATAGACAAACTTTAAAAGTCTATAATTTTTAATATCGTTCATATGCAAAGCCAACTTTAGACGCCTCTAGTTTTATGAATAAACAGGTTTAATACTTTTCAAAACAAGTATTTTGTAATAAATACTCTTTTTCGGATTGCATCACAGTTGACAAGATGTAGTTCATGTATCTTTCAAATAATATCTATACGGGATTGAATCTCGCCAAATTTTTTGTTAAGCCTCGGGCGAATCTCCTGTAAAATTTTGCAGTTTATGGTACGTTATGAATCATATGCTGCAAAGCGCAAGCAGAAGAAAAATAAAAATCTGACCAACAAGAAGCTAAAAATTCAAATCGCCCAGATCTCGTTATAGGCAAAGCGGACCGCAAGGCGTGCAATATACTTTCTTGAACGTACTCACGTAGCTGCATATGGAGCACGTATATAAATGCACGTGCTGCTTATCATGTGAGCGCTACAATGTCCTTCTCCGGGCTTCACTACCTTGTAACGAGTTACTTGAAAAATTCGTATATTCACACGCGATTGCCGTGATGTATAGTACGGCGCGCAAAAATAACGTGCGCACGAGTGAGCGTTAATAACGTGCTTTGCAGTATCAAGTACATACACATACACACACACACATAATGCACATGAGTAATTATATCGCACAAAGCCCACCAGGCCCCATCATGCACTAGATCGTGTAACGCGCACTGCAAACGAAAATCGTGATTACTAATGTTTTCGATCGAGATTTTGATGTATATGCGAGCTTCTTGACCCACTCTTTTTTATGATTAATTTCAAATCCGGCAGTACGCACTTTAAGGAGCTAGTTATCTTGTTAGTTTCCAAGGACTAAGGAATGCGCGTGCACAACAAGCGAGATGAAATGGCCAATTGAACGAGCGAAAAAGATGAGGCCACACTCACGGAACGAATGAGAGAGGCGACGAATCAAAAAAACACGTCTTACGGGTGAAATTATGCATGTTTTGACACGGAACAAGTGGAAAAGATATTCTGAGATGTTTAACTACCGGCTCGATCGGATAGGTTGACATCTCTCGGCGAGATGCGGGTAGGAGTGATTTCGATGCCTCAATTTGGTTGCTATAGATGTCAATTATCATTGAGCGATTGGGTCAAAGCGAGGTCGATCTCAAATCGAATTATGATACGCGCGATACATCGAGGCTTTGTTTATCGTTGTTGCTTAGCCTCGACCTACATCGTTCGTTACCGGCAAGTACAGGCAGACCTCCTCAAGATTCTAAGCAACAATTACTTGCGATCGGATGACGATCGAGAGACGCTCGACGCTCGCTTAGCCGAGCCTTGGCTAAACGGCACATTTGCACAAATAGGCGAGCCCACGGAATCATCGACGAGAGTCAAGGTTCAAAATCATCGAGCGCGCATTATCGCATCGCTATGCATGCAACGTTCGCTGACATAGACGAGCTCTGGCGGCCGGCCTCTCGTCGACCGTTAGGAGATAGCACGCGATACCACCTCTCGGACTCGTAATCGCAAGTAGGTATATATATATGCGTTACTATGCTTATATCGCAAGCAGCATAGACGTGTATCGTACACTGACCTCTTTTGAAAGATCCAATCGTTGTGGACAACAGTCGCTCGTTCGCAGCTTCTTCGGTCTTGGGTAAATAGAGAGCTGGCATGGCGACCGGCGCCGTCGCCGTCCTGCAGTCACATGACGCTGCCAATGATAACGATGACGGGCCGCCCGTGCGCATTTCTAATTCACGCACTTTCGCCATTGATCACTCTCCCACGCAAAGGAGAACTGCGGCGCCAACCATCCGCTCGGATTCTTCGATCCAATTTGAATATCTTCGCATGAAATCTGCATAGTACGCTTTCGCACACTCGCGCCGACACCGTACGCCGTTGTTGTCTGCTACACTGTTGTTGTTGTTGCTGCTTTGGCGCTTTTTCGTCTAAATTGGAAGCTTATAATAATGCTGGCTACACAGCTCTGCATTCATTCATTAACCTACTTTCTCATTACACAATCTTTCCGCGCGTGCACAAATTTACACACTCGTTCGGTGAGCTGCACAACAACAGCAGCGCGCGTGTACCGAACGAGAAATAAAATCCCGTATGATTTTCGTCGCACGCGTCTTTTTTGTTTTTATAATTTAATACCATCAGCAACAGGCGGCGCGGGCCATGCGTTATGTTCTGAGAACTAAGACGAGATTTCAGCTGTGAATTGCGAGCTGCTATTGTTGCAGGACGCACTCCTTTTGATGTTTATTGTTACGTTATTGCTGCAGACACTTTTTTCGCACATGTCGAAATTCTGTTGACGCAGCGCTGCTCGCGTGGCTGTATTAAATTTTTTGACAGCCGCGAGGGTTGCACCTGGCAGACTGGATGTTTACACGCACGCACTTCTGTGTTCCTTGTTGCATTTCTGTGGACGCACTTGCGCGAATAAACTCGCGAAATCGGTGAATTGTATTTATGCTTATTCGTACGCGCACACGAAATCGAAGGATACACAATTGTTACACGTTGCAGGTCCGATACGCTCGATTCACGTGCGATGTAAACAGAAAGGCGGGAGCTGCGGTGCAGCGAATATTCGCTTACAGTACGAAGAATCAAGGCTTGTGCGAATGGTCGTCGGGCATAAGGTAAGTTATGTAGAGATAGTAGCAGGCCAGAGCGATGAGGAGGATGAGGATGATGCAGATGCTCATGCAGCCACACATTTTGCCGATTTTCTTGCGAGTCTTGGCCTCTGACACACGGAGTGAAAATTATAATACAGAGAAAAGTAAACTCGAGGAGCTGTATGTATATTGTATGCTGCGCGTAAACACGAGCCTCGCACTGCGCTGGCTGATGCTGCGAAAGCGATACTGCGAGAGACTCGCTCTGCTTTGCGCTGCGCTGCTTTGTGTTGCGACTTGCGTGTGTGTATATAGTAAACGCGAGACGACGACGACGACGACGAGCGCAGAGCCGCGCACACCGACACACCACTGAGACTAAATACGGAGTATTGTAGTACGAGCAGAGTCTGCTGCCCGAGGAGCTGTACGTGTAAGAGAGTTTACTTGGGCTTCGTGATATTACTATATATACTGTACACAGTGCAAACACAACGACATGGAGGAGGCCTGGCAGTAGCGGCGGGGAGCTGTTCTGCTCTTGTAATACTGCTTACATACACGCCAGACTCACGTACCGAGTGCACTATGTGCTTCACGAGTTGCCGCCGCTTGCCGCCGCCGCCGCCGCCACCGCCGTTGCTATATGCCGCGATACTGCTGCTATTCCAAATGTCTATCCTATCCTATCTGCCTTTGTGCGCTGCGTTCGACTTTGTTATGGCTGCGCGCCGCTAACTTTATTCGACGACTGTATGCTGTGATACCTACTTGTGCATAACATATGGGTACTGACAAACAAGTCGGAGTAGAAAGAGAGAGAGAGAGAAACACGTGGAGACGGGGGTGGTGGTCGTCGGCCCGTCTTCGGCGGTCGGACCGGTCGGCTGGTTGGAGCCGGTGGTGTTAACCCTCTCGAGTCTCGTTGCTTCCTTTGTGACGCATGCGCGATATTTTTACGCTTGAACGTCTCACGAGCCTTTAACTTAGCAGATCGAAATAATACGTTTATTACGTAATTATCTTTATTGCTTTGCGCACTACGTGCACTCGTTTTCATGCCAAATTCTCAATTCCAATCGCATTCTATGCATAAAGGTGCTCATAGTAATCGACCTGTTTTTCTTGCAGTGATATCTTCACATGAAAATCAACTAACTTACAATCAATCAATAGTATATATTTTAAAATAACGGTACTTTGCCGTGTCTTGTATTACACTTGGTACTCGGTGCAACGATTCCTATAAACAATCTGTACATCTTATATACTCATTTTTAATCGAAATCCTCATGGGACTATTACTACTGTGACGTTGGCCAAATTGTGCCAAAATTAACTTGCTTATGCTCAAATATGCTTTTACGATCACTAAAATTTTCCCTGTTCCATCTTCGGACTTGTTTTTCTCTTCTTTATCTACTTCAGCTGTGAACAATATGAATTTCAATACTACTGTTGGTGTCCTTTTCATAATCGATGTGTTTCAAGTTTTTAAAGGTCTCTCTTTGATCAAAATATAATAAATTCTGTACGAAACAAAGTAACGATCGTCTGGATTTTAATTAAAATTATTTTGATGTGTAACATCTTATGGTTTGTTGGGGTATTTTTATACAGTTTCTTTTGAATTATTTCATTTGTAAAGGGGATGTCCAAATCAGTACTTGAATTATTTACTATTTTTTTCAATGAATCTGATCTAAATTTTAACTTTGCTGTTCCCTGGATCAGTAAAATACATTTCTAAATCTCATCCAAACATTATAATGCAGAGCCTCGATTGTAAATTAAGTATGTACGCGTCACGCTAAAATTTGACTCTGTGCTCGGCGGGAGATTTACATTGGTAATCGAAATATCGAAGATAACTCGATCTGTGCGTGGTACGAAAAATCCAGAAAAATGAAAGTAAAGTTTAAATTCAATTTTCAAATAGTAAAAGTGAAGTTGTACAGATTAAGTACTTTATACTGTACGAAATAAATTTCAATAGCGAAATTTTGTAATAATTATTATGTAACCAAAAAGTTCCAGCATAATTATAAATGATTGATTGATCATAATATTTAAAACATTGCCGGAAAACTAATTTTCGCGTAAGAAAAAGCACTGGATAAAAAAAGTGCAGGAAAGGTGGCCGTAATAAGCAGTATAATGCACGAGAGGATCTGTTTTTCCAGGCAAATATAATTAATCTTGGCGAAAGTTTCAAAATGTATACTTGACCAAGCAGGATTGTAAAAAATAAAAGAAAGGAAAAAGAGAAAAAATAAAAGACCGATATCCGATAAAGTTTACTACGTGCACGTGTACCGAACACAGTTGCACAACTTGATTGTGTAGCTACTACATGGATGTGCTGCAGCGAGGCGCGTCTCACATTATAGCGCAACAGTCCGCAAAAAGAGGAAAAGAAACGATACCACGCAGCATGTGTGTGCATAGCCGGCTAGACTCGTCAGAAGCTCGTATGGCGCGAGGAAACGCGGAAACGCACTGGCCTATATATTTTTCCCCAACTGACCCATCGCCTCGGACTGCGTATACACTATACACCTATACGGCTACATTCTCGACACTAAAGATCGCGATTCTTTGTTTTTTTCGCTAATTGCACCAACAGCTGTCTTAACTGTTTTATCGTTTCGATTCGTTTGTTTGTAGTAGCCAGTCGTGAAGAACTCGATCGTCGAGTTTCAGCCGAAAAACCTGCGTCATTTCACCAGGAGCCTTCCAAAAATGGAACGTCGTCGCACTCATCTACGCACACGATGTAATAAAGAGAAGAACAATTAAACGTTGCGACAAATACATATAGCGGAACGATGCTTTTGAATGTCTATCCTGGCCTCGAACGACCTTCCTCACGCCTCGCAGAACCTCGAGAGCTCGCGTGAATAACAACGGACGGTATTGTCAGGCGTTACACACTCGTATATGTCTTTGGAAAAATTCAATAAATAGACCGTTTGATGCGCGCAAGACGAAACAAGAAAAAATGATACCGCAGGCGGTATTGCGCACAGAACGAAGAATCGGCAAATCCGTATAAAAGATTCATTCGGTACATGAGTCATGCGCACAATAATGCGACGTTTTTTGTACCTCGAAAGGTTTAAAAGCGGAAAACTAGAACGAGGCTCGGCCGCACGACGGCGACGACGGTTTACGATCGATTCGCGACTTGGGTCTCGTTATCGCCACGTGCGAGCGTATACAGCTGCCAGCAGTGCCCCCGACAACAAGTACGCAACTTTGCACGCGGCCAAGAACGCACCTCTGCGCCCGTTTTCACGCGCGGCAACGAGTCCGACTCGTTTTTCGGAAGCGATAAAATTTATTTCCACCAAAACGATCGAACGACTCGTTTATTTGGGAAATTTTCGTGCCGTGAGAACGGCTGCTTGACTCATAGGCGGTTCAGTGGCAACTATGCGCGCGCTCAATGTCCTAGTCCGCGCGTTTCCCGAGCGGAAAAATAACTATTGCGGAATTTCATAAAGCTATGCGACCTCGAGCTAAGGAAAATTCACCTCTGCGGCTTTCATTCACGAGCACTCGATGAATGGACTCGTAGGTATTTAACATCGCGGCGGTGTGTATAAATGCGAGACTCTCGAGACAACAACACCTACGCTCGTTGTGGCTTTGCGCGGCAGCAGCTCGCGACTCTTTACCGATCTTGCTGGCGACGTGTGTTTCCATCAAGGACAGGAGCTCTACGTCATCTCGTTGCCGCAAAAACTGCCTACGTCGATGGACAAAACGACATGGAGCTCGATCGAGCGCACGCGAACGGTGATCCTTTCGAAAACTCGTGCTGCGCGTTTTTATCGTCGGACTCGACGCTGCGGAGAAGCCCAAGGAAAGAAACGAGATCGAGCCTTTCATATATGGGCGAATCGTAACGGTGCGTCGCTTGCTCCGCTGAACTTTGAGATTTACCGTGCTAGTAGGTATAAGGTACGTACAACATATTGGCTCCCGCACACACCACATCGCTTGATAAATAAAAAATGAAAAGTAAAAACGAAAGATGTGAATAATGCATGCGCATAAATCTCTAATAAAGCGAGCCCGCGCCTGTGCGGGCGAGAACAGTGAAAAGAAAACTCATCGCAATTACTTTTAATGAAGGCGACGAGCTGCTCTTGGCGCTGCTAGAGATATATATAAGAGACGATCCTTTATCACATGCGTGAAAGTTGCACGTATGGTGTGCATGATTTTGTTACCAGCAGCATGTATAATAAATTTCACCACTCGCATTGCCGGCAATTAAACAATACAATTACAGCTTCTTTTTTTTTTCTTTTCCTCTCTGCCAGCACGTAGCGCGTCTTTTTGAATTTATCGAGACGATGACTCACGTCAAATGTATAAGTGGGCGCCCATGAGTATGTGTGCCAGTGCGAATCGCGATCCTCGTCAAGTTTAACTCATTGTGTCTTAGACTGTCTGAGCGAGGTGAAAAAGAAAAGCTTTTCCGCTAAATTTGTCACCGCTCCGAAAGGTCGTCCTCCGACGCTCCATTAAATTCCACGATTCTTCTTTATTAATCGCGTACATCTTGATATGGTGACGTCGTGTATATAACAATGATAATTTCCTTTGGCCTTCCAATGATAATTTCTCGTATACTGCAATCATTTTAACTCTATTATTTTACTATGATCATTGCGCCGTTTATTGAGTTCAGTACATCTATATGCAAACGTTGCGCTGCTTTTTTCCTAAACTCTTACAGATATCGAACAACGAATCTTCATTTTTACTTTTTTTCATGACAAAAAGTAAAAATAAAAATACAAATACCTATTTCACCTTATTTTTTATGAGATCTTTAAATTAACATGTATCTTTCGATGTTCCAACGTATACTGTTGAAATTTATCGGTTGTGGACATTGCAGAACAAGTTGTTTTCAAACAACGACGCTTGATGTCTCTACCACCTCTGCACTTGACGTCAACAAACACAAGATGTTTTGAGGTTAGTTTTGAAACTGACATTCGATTTGTTATCACACGTCAATTGTTGCCGTTTGTACAAGAGTAGAAAAAAATTGTCAAAGTTATGGCGGCGGCAACTGCTGAACAACCTGGAAAAGGAGCCTGGGAGCTTTCCGTTTATGAAGCCCAGCGTCAACCGCATTGCGCCGTCGACGATGACACTGAGATAGGCGTCAGTCCGCGAAGCCTTCACAGCGAGCTCATGTGTCCTATTTGTTTGGATTTGCTGAAAAAAACAATGACTACCAAAGAGTGCCTCCACCGATTCTGCTCTGATTGCATCATAACTGCTCTCAGCAAGGGTAACAAGGTAAAAAGACCAAGACTTTGTATGGCTTCTTGAATTTTGCTTCTTTACCTTTACTTTATAAATTTTGATTTTAGGAATGTCCTACATGCAGAAAAAAACTCATTTCTAAAAGATCTCTGAGGCCAGATCCAAACTTTGATATGCTTATTAATAAGATATATCCTAGTCGCGTGGATTATGAAGCTCATCAAGAAGAAGTTTTAGCTAGACTCAACAACTCGCATTCTCAAGCAGCATTAGTCAACTCTATTACGGAAGGTATAAAACTGCAAAGTCAAAATAGACCACAGCGAAATAGAAAAAAAGATATAAGTAGTAGTCCTGCAGAATTAATGAGTGCAGCAAATAGTGCAAATGCAAGCATTGCTTCAGGCAGTGCTGCAACTGCTACTGGATCAAGTTCAAACCAAAATGATTCTTTACAAAATGGCAAAGATCAGACTAACAATGGTACTTCCGCTCAACCAGCACCTAGCCCAAGCCCTGCACCTTCTGGTAAGTTTATGGTATATTTTTAAGATATACCCTAATGGGTTGATTTCTTTTGTCATTGCAAGCTCTTTATCTCGTATTTTATGATTTCAGCGGCAACATCAAGAAATTCGACTACACCATCACCTGTACCATCAATATCTACCAGATTTTCCAAACGTTTAAAAAGTAGCCACACCTCAGAAAATGAAACATCTAGTGCTGATATCGAATCTATGGATACAGAATCAGACACTTCCAACGAGCCTTTAACTGAAAATGAAATAGAATTAATTTTTAAACCTCATCCAAATGAAATGACTGGAGAAAATCCTTTGATCAAGGCACTCAAGGATGAAACTATTCGTTATTTAAAGACAACGGCGAATGCCTCGGGTAAGTTATATTGAATAATTGCCTACTGTGGTTTTCCTAATAAAAATTTTGGAATTACTATTTTTTATTGCAGTTGAGCACTTGAGCAAGTATTTAGTAATGAGACTATTTTTGGACATACCAGAGGATCTGACTATAGAAATTGGAAATTATAATTTCCATATTTATGTTGAAGTTACACCTGGTAGTTACTTACAGTTGACCGGCTTGCAAACTTTGCGCCAAATTAATGAAAAATTTTGGCGAATGGATCGACCTTTAGAATTGTACTATGCTTGCAAAAAACCATAGTGATATCTTTATTGAGTAAATAACGAAGCAACGAAGTCTACACCAAAAACGACCGTCTACTTATATGGTATAGACGAAATACAAATTCTCATGAGATTCGATTCATGAAAAATTACGAATCACATCAGACTTCATGAGACAACATTTTTGTGTTTTGTCACATCGTGTAATAAAAGTAGTATATGCAACATAAGTTAAACAGGTAAATCGTTTCAGGAGTCTTATGAAACTGTAATCTTTGTGAAGTCGACTCTTGAGTGATTCAACTGTTTTTATTATTTGATGCATTCTGTATTATTATTGGTCCTTAGCGTCCTGTAAGCGTAAAAAATGTGATTTGCGAACTGTAAAATTTCTTCAATTTGATAATAAAATCTATATTGCCTATTTTAATAAAAAAAAAGGTTGAAAGATGACATGAAATTGTGCAAAGGAATCGTAGTTTTAATACTAATCAAAAGACTGTGAAGTTGGATGAAATGTAAGTTTTTAGCTCTCGAGTGAAATATATTATTACATGATTTTAATGTATGAAGCATAGGAAAATTTTATCATGCAATAAAAGAAATTTATTTAAATATATCCATCTCGAGTCTCTTTGATGCTTTTTTACTCCCACAATACTGCAAGTCAAGACAAGGAATTTCGTTGCCGAATTTTATTTCGAAGTTCTCCGCCAGGCTTTATCGCTTAACTTTATCAACGTTCTGTAATATAAACTTATTCTCGACGAAAAGTTACATTCGGTGGTGAGAAAGACGATGATACACAAAAGTGAATTCGCAGCCCCTCTTATTGGGCGCTCGTTCAAATATACATAAGCCTAGGAGAAAAGCAAGTTGTGCGCTCGAGCATCAGCCAGCGGCAGCAGTAGCATATTATCTTGCAGTTCACAAGCAGCGTATTATATATCGTGTTACCGCCGAGCGGGGGTGGTATTGCACGCCGCGCGTTTATTCCCTTACCATGAGAGAGCTGTGAGTCTGAGTAAATCCAACGTATCTTTATGTAGTGCTAATCGATTCGATGGGTGTCGTGATTTTTTTATGTGTGCGCGTGCATAAAACGGAGCTGAGCCTGCCTGATGTTTTTCTTCCTCCTTGAAACATATGTTTCGTCGATTATTCGAGATACGCAGAAGATGTCTTGTTTTTTTACGTTACTTCGTTCGAGAGAATTCATCGCCAATCGGAGGGAGAAAAAAAACCAGCTTTTGGACTCGTTCGCATAAAGTTCGTTACTTTGAAGTTTTCTCTGAATGAAAGGAGGGGGACCACCATGCAGCCCGCGTTGAAAGCGACTCTCACCACAATTTGAGGGTGTACCGAGGAAAGTTTGTCAATTTTCCTAAACTTACTTCGAACAAACTTGTATATGTGTACAGCTGTGAAGCTCTTGCCTCTGTTTTTAATGGTCCTGGCAATATATCGATTGGTTCATCTCTCTTCGCTCTCTCTCTCTCTTTCTCTATCTCTTTCTCTCTATGTGTCTTTATCTCTCGCACCGGTCTGCGATCGCGCACGACTGAAATTTACCCTTCACTGGTGCTATAGACAAGTCTTAGAGAGAAAATAACTCATTCCAATCCGGCTCTCTATTGATATGAAAATTTATCGAGCATTTACGACTTTTCGGCGAATTTATGATTGAATCGTTTGCTTTTGAAAATTAATTTTTATTGATGCTCGAAAAATGATTTAGTTGTTTTTTTATTAGATAAACTGATCATTTTTTAGGACGAGATTTCAATAAGAAAAGATCGGCCAGTTCCCGGGAATAACATTTGAATTTAAAACTGCCGGCGTGAGTGTTTGTTGCATTTCACCATATCTTTATTTATTGAGATTTACCAAAAAATTTGAAAATTCATTTATTTTGTTGTGCTGTACACAAAGTAAAATAAGTTTTTTTTCTGCTTCCAATTAATACATCATGCGGAGCTGCGAAGCGCAAGTCAAAGTCTGCAGCTCTTGCGTGCGTGCATATAGGTCCGAAAATCTCTCTCTTCCTCTTCTTTCGCGGTTCTCCCTCTCGTGGCTTATATGCGCGCATTCCGACGTGTGCGGTACATTTTTTTCTTTATATATACCTAAAAGAACATCCTTCTCTCGTTCTCTGCTAACTGATGTACCTGTGCATGCGATGGGGACGTCTTATATATTTAAAGTGCGCGAGTTTTTTTCAATAAACGCCTCGAGATTTCGGAGCGCAAACGCGTGGAAAAGGTGATGTTATCCTGTCGGCGTCGAGCGTCACGTGCAGTACATTTTTTGTTCTTTACTCGAGGTCATCTGCGTTTATATCGGGTCATTTCATCAATACCCATGACAAATTTAACGACTCTGCTTCAAAATTGTCACTTCGTAGGATAATATTGACTCGTTGCTTTTTTTTTTAAATCTCAATAGGTATTTTCAAGAGGTTTCATGTATTTAAAAACCCAAAATGTTATATTTTTTAAAAAAATTTTCTAGAAAAAGGTATTGGGATAGATATATTCATCATCGATTTGAGATGAAAGCAGAATTAAATTTGAGAAATGCTTACTAATATAGGTATGTTCGAGGAAAAGGGAAAAATTGACACCGAATTGTCTAAAAGTTTTAGTACAATTACAATACAGGGAAAGATAGTTATTCAGTTTTGTAAAACGAATAATGTGTTTTGAGCTTGAAGTTTTTACCGATTGATGAAAGCTCAAATCCAAATCTGAATATGCGGCAGAAGTGGAAAATTTCACTGGTCCCTTTTTCCCCAGTTATGCATATTTACTTAATTCTTCTAATGTTGATCATTAAAATTCTTACTGAGCAACGAGATCTTTTAGTTTAAAATTTAGCCCACAAACCATTCGTACTTTAGCTATTAATTTGATGATCTATCGAGTTGATTTTGATGAATTAATGTTTCAAGCTGAATGATAACATGATATAACAAAAAATGCAAGATTTGTAGCAGATCACTATCATCTATGTGCATTTGATTTGTGCAAAAAGAAGCCTCTCGAATATAGCAAGCATCGGTGGTATATGTGCCATCCACAAAAGCCAGAGAGGCCGCGTCACTGCAGACCTTTTTCTCTTTCTCTCTCCTTCTTCCTTCCTGCTCCTTTTTTGCCCAAGAGAAAGACCTATTCTCTGTTCCTCTTTCTCTTTTAGCTTCTCTTTTGCTCGAGTCTTGTCTTGTTCTTCGTGGTTCTCTCCCCGCCAAGCTTTGTAGCTCGAGTCACCGGAGCAGCGCCAGTGGAGGAGCTCTGGCTTAAGGGCAGCCACAGGCGAGCGTCGCTCCTATACATGTGTATTGCGCGCGCGGCTCTCTCTCTCTCTCTTTCTCGCTCTTTCTCCGGCACAGGCCGCTGCCGTGAGATTCAACTGGCGAAGTAACAGTCCAGTCGTTCGCGCGCCTTTGAATAGCGAGGTTGCGTTTATTCGCGCTAAAGGATTTGTCTTCCTCCCGAATACATAGCGTGTGAGCTTATCGAGTTTACACGATAATTCATCAACTCGTGCATCGTTCGCTTTTGTTTTTTTCTCTACTTAACGGCTATCGACATGTCTACGGTGGAACTGCTCATCAGGTGAGTTTTTGCGACGATTTATGTTTAAAGATAACGCCACTCGTTGGTGCATAAGAGACCGCGTGAATGGAACGAAAAACGCATAAATCGAGCCTCGATTTTTCTCTCGGCTCGTAGCCAACGCACTACCGGCGTGCGAATGGGAATTTCAAGAATGTTTCACACTTGTGTTCGTATAGATCGCGCAATGATTTATATAAATATATGTATGCGCTCTCGAGCAAACCGATGCATCGTAAAACTCGCTTCGTTTTAATCTCGCGATAAAAAAAAAAGAAAAGAAAATATATGTAGGTACATGATCGATAGTCTGGACGAGTAGTACCGAAAGAGAAAAAAGAGAGCGAGAGAAAAAGGGGAGGAAAAAGAGAGAATAAGATACAATTTAATATTCTATAGATATGTGCGATTCACGGGATCGCGTACGGACGACGACGGGGTGCGTCAACGTCAATTGTTGAGAATTTTTTTGGCCGTGGCGGCGTTAATAAACTCGAGTGCGCGCATACTGTCACTCGCACGATGCTCCCCCGCTTAATTGCTTGTTTTACTCTCTTTCTCTCGCTCGACTCGGATTTTTTTTTCAACTCGCGTAAAATGCGCAAACTGCCTCGAGTGTGTGTACACCGTAAACCCGCGTGTACAGGCGTATCTTTGCATGTGAATGAACATTTTTGCGCGCTACGTGTCAATGAACTTGCGAGGATAATGTAGCCGAGCCTAATGAAGTTTCAATTTTTTTTTCACTAAAAACCAAGTGTGTACTCGCGCGCTGACTCTGGCGTGTGCGATGTCGTTTGACAGAATGCATCCTACCAGCTCTCTTTTCTTTCTTCCTTTCTTTTCTTTTTCTTTGAAAAAAGTGAGAAGATAATTCTTGGTCATGTAACGGCGAGCTTTACTGGCTGTAGCATATAATGTATACCATTGTTAAATTGTGCATACATGTGCGTGCATTTGTAGCACCTCCTCGTACAATGTGTCAATGTTGAATATTGTGACAAGTGCTTGACTTATTCACGGACGAAACTTCTTTGATCGCCGGCATATAGCTGTAACATCGATTAGTGTCGCGCACATCCTCATTCACGGCTGCTGCGGCTGGAGGCTAAAATGAGAATATTTGCGGATCGTTTAAATTTACACACCTTTGTAGCTTTAACGTACAATCAAACTTGATGTACAAATAATCGTATATTAATTTATTCAAAAAAAAGTTCAAATTTAACTGCTTATAGCTATAAAATATTTTTCAAATCCTGCTAAAGTGAACATTTTCTCGACGCCATGATACGTTGTCTAGAATTTATTATATAAGTTAAGAGGGTTATCAATTTTTAATCATGACGTAGTTCTCGAAAATTTTTTCGGAAATTTTTAAAACTTATAATGTCTATTAGAACATTTTTACTGGAACATTTTAATCATAAAATAATTAAATGGCCTGAAGGTACGAGTATTTACGTTTGTTGGCCGATTCGTCACCATTCGACCACTCATCGTCAAATCTACTTTGAAAACCGCACTGAAAAAATGTATTTTCGATGACGAATCGCAAAGCTCAGTTTCTAGAAACTTATGTCATCAATATAAATTTTTTGGTATAAAATGACTACTTTGGACAATACATTTGGGTTGTTCTCTTACTTAAAAAAAAAAACGCCGCGCGCGTTTTTATTTTAAGTAGGAGAATGACTCATTTTGTTATTTCGATAAAATTACGATTTTTAATTTCTAACAACGCGTTAGTTTTATTTGAATAATTGTCCAAGTCCTATGACATCTACGGCTATCTTTGTCCAGTGCTTGGTTAAATTCTTTACTCTGCAATCGTAAAAACAAGGCAGCAAAACTAATGATCCGCATCACGTGCAGGAGGGGATGACACGTTACACCGAGGCAAGCAGCAGCAGCTGTACAAAAAGTGGCGTTAATTTAACGCGCGTCAGGTCGAAAAATACATTTGCACACATCTAGCTCGCGTCGAGCGATCATCGCGCTAGGATATACACGATAACGGTTCGTTTATTGTCCATCGATTGCAAACGCCTGTTATCTGTCACTTTCTCGCGACGGCGACGGCGGTGGTGTTGGCTCGTCGACGATGTTGGGCGTATATATAATATTACGCTATTTGAGGCATTGATTCGTAAACAGAGTTCGAGGAGAATCGCGGCGCGTTGGACGATGCACGTGGATTCACCGTTAGGCTTATCGATACAAATTGAGAATAGTCGAGAAAATACTCGAACCCGATACCTTAGGTGTTTACGCGCGGGAAAGTATGCAGTTGACTGGAGAGTCGCACAGTACACGTTATTACATGGCCCGAATTATCTCATTAAATTGCTCGAAAGCTCTCGATCGTAGATGTCGCGTCGATGGCATGTCTTTTTGTGAAAATCGGTAGGAGCAAGCCTGGACGAGATCGGCAAGTGCCCTTGAGGATCGCGCCGATCGACCCATATATTGGCGCGGAGCCGATGTGCAGCAGGCATCCCCCCGCAGAGCTACTGCCGAGCACACACATAAGATGAAAGGTTCGCGTGCGGTGGCATGTGGATCGCGACCCACGTCTCGAGGATATTATTTGAGCCGCACATACACGCCACATACACGCTTCGCAGTGGGAATCTGCTGCGTCGCTTCGCCCATACTAGCTTCGTTTTTACCAGTAAATGCGCTACACACACACACAAGCATAGAGAGAGACTATTGCTGTTGGAGCGCATAGTGGCTAGTGCATATTATACCTGAGAGAGTCTTGGCCGCGCGATAATACCGTTATGCAATCCTTATACGAGCGGCTCAGCTCGCAAGCGCACTTAAATAATACGGAGCCACACACGTATACGCAGCAACGCTTAGCAGCCTAGAGCCGATAGGTGTACACACGCACGTACTCGGGCGCGCACTTGGCATTAACTAATTTTCACCTACATAGCGCCTATATGCGCGCGACTTTATTGTTTACTCGCTGACCCACAAAGTCAAGTTGAAAGAAATTGAATAATTTCCGCATCGAATCGGATTGCGAGCCGAGAAAGGAGAATCCTCGCCGCTCACAGGCACGAGGAATAGGCGAGGTGTCGCGTCAGGTATCTGCAATGCGCACAGCAAGAGGCGAGATCGAGGGAGGCTAAAAAAGCGACTGCGACGCGCCGAGGATGAAAGGGAAAGAAACAAAGGTGCGTGTTAAATTCTATTTTGTCAGGGCTTCTTGGTCGTCGAAGTCGTGCTGCTTCTTCTTTGGCGTGCCTTTTTTTCTGCGCTCGCGTCGCGTACACACACACACATGGAGAAATCGTGGGAAGCTCGAGAGCATGCTCGGCCTCGCGCAGTAGCTATGTGTATGCAGTAACGTGGCACAAACGAGCGAGCGACACGGAAGGAGAGCTAGTAGTCTAGCGACGACACACGGCAGAAATAGCATAGAGAGACTCGGAGGTGTAGGAGGATCTTTCCTCTCTATCTTGTCTTTATACACGATATATATAGCGTGCACTGCGTCCTTAGCGCTCGGCCGGAGCAAGCGCAGACGCGGGCGGGCGATTTTTCCGCGATAAAATCTCATAACCGATGCCAAGCACGCGCGAGAGCTTTAGCTACCGTATACCTCTGTACACTCTTTATACGAGCCAGCAGCGGCGACTGATTAATTTTCCTACGCTTTTCTTCTCGGATGGTGCCAACTTGTATTTTTTTCAATTCGCCTCGGCGACTTGGCCTTTTTTTCGAACAAATATATACTTGTACGTATATTTATGTACGAATGATAAACACACTGGAGGTTGGGTATACATAAGCGACACAGAACGCCGCGGCGCAGCAAAAAGTTATTTTTTGTCGACCAAGGATGAAGATTTGCGCGTTTATTCGCGTTAAAAGAGCCCGACGATAAACGTGCGCTCGACTCGTCGTGCGGCGGCGTCCTTTTCCTTCGCTCGGCTTCGGCCTTTTAGACATGCGAATGCGACTTGGCTCTGCAGCGAGCTTATATTATGTATTTGCTCTCGTATCTCGGGGAGCCTAACTTGGAGCTTATTGTGTGTATATTGTACACTGCCTGGCTCGACTGTGTATATATAGCCAGTCGTATCAAACTTATGAGCCTACTTGGCTCGAACTTGTGCGTGCGACCATGTGTTTACATTGTTGTAATAGCTCAAATTGGCCAAGCTCGAGCCTCGCTCGGTGAGTTATTGATTTTTTCCGCTCGCCTGCGCCTGCCTTACTTATACACGCACGAAACACGCCGAGTACTTACTCTGCTGCATCACCGATCGGATCGGCCTCTCTCGACTCATTTCGGACTCGTAATTTCTCATTAATATTCCAAGCCGAAGAAAAGGTCGCTTCGATCGAGCGGCAGCTTTTGTTTCATATGTAATATACACGTAAGCGCGCGTATCATCCTTACAGCAGTTTTTCCATCATCCCTTAGGGCGATTTACCGAATTTTTTCTGCGTTCCAACGAGTCTCTCTCCTGTTCTATCCAATGCAATACGCACATATGCCCCCAAGCTGCGTCTTCCTACGTTACTTTCCCATTTTTTCCTTCACTTTTTTTCCTTTTTTTTTTTGCTGCAAATCAATCCTTGTATACGCATTGCAATTGCGCCGCGTGCATCGCTGCCATATATCGTTTTCTCTCTCTCTCTCTCTCGCTAGCTCGCGACGTCATGTTTATTTCATCGTTTATCGCAAGCTATCCATCGTCGAAATTGAATAAAATTTCCTATCGCTCGAGTATAGAATTATAAATTACGGCGAAAATTCTGCAGGTCGATTTGCTGTAATATAAAGATGTGAAGCTGCGGAAACGCAGCTTATTACAAGTTACTTATGCACGTGCAGTTTATTAAATATAAAGGCGCGTTTAGCCGACGCTCGACGGGGCCGATTAAAAAATAATTTCACACTGCAGATATATAGAGTCGCGCGCAGATGTACCACAAATTAAATGTTTCACATAGTTCCTGGAAGTAGCTATTTCTCT